TCTTTTTCTTCTTCTTTTTCTTCTTCATCCATTGGCAGCAATGGTCTCCCATCCCACCCAACTGCTTTTCGGATGTCGTAAAACTTGCCATTCCATGGGTGAAGAAGCATGCCAGTCTTTTCGTTAAAGTTAATGGGGGCTATATATTTGAGACGTGGGACAGTCTGATCGCTTTTTGGTAAGGCTTCATCTTCTACCTCTTCATCTTCTCTCTCTTCTTTCTCTTCTCTCTCTTCTTTCTCTTCTTTTTTGCTGCGTACTTTATCGATGTATTGCATCGTGTTTTTGCATTCAGCTATTGCATTGAGGAATTCTGTTGAAGTATGGTATTTTGTTTGTCGCTTGCAAAAGCATCCTTCGGGATCATCTTCCTCTTCAACCTCTTCGAGGTCTTCTTCTTCGCTCTAAGGTAACTCCAAGTACCAGTCATCGTCTTCTTCTTCAACCTCTTCATCTTTTTCTTTACAATCAACTTGCTTCAACCTTTCATAGTCAGGCCAAACACCGAATGGATTTGGGTAAGATGGCTCTTTGAAGTCAGACAAAAAGGCTGTAGGCCAAGAAGGTGGTGGAGACAGTTTCTTCAACCTCTCAAGGTTGAATTTAACTACTCTGCTGTCTGTCACATCAAAGGTGGCATATCGGTTTTTCGAGAAACCTCCAAGTTTCACATATGCATCATGCACTAGCAGCTGCACTCACCAATCTCCACTGCAAACTATACTGTCGATGACAATGGCCATCTTTACCCTACACTCACGACCTATGTAATCAAGTAGCTCTAATTTTGTGTAAACAACATCTTCACCTGTGTGTACATTCAATGTGTGTATATGTAAGGGGGTATGTATCTTCTGAATAGACTCAGAGTACATAAGTTTGGGGTAAAAGATTGGGTCTTCATCTTCATCTTCTTCTCTCTCAACCATAGGGAATTTCATACTCTCTGCCACCTCTTTTCCATAAACTTTATTGAGGTGTTCATAGCAAAGATTCTTCAACTCTTTCAAGGCATTATAAAAAAGTTTTTCTTGTGAATTGAATGGACTCAGGTAAACAGGCATTGTGTACCCCTTAATATCTCCATCTACACTCAAGTTTTGTTGTAGGTATGAATAGAGGAGAGGGGATACTATCACCAGCGGCCCCGTTTCCCCACAGGCGTTTTTTACTTTAATTTTGATGTGACTTTCGTATTTTGATCCGGTTTTCTGTTTTTCGAATATGACGTTGTCCTTGTTGATGTCTTTGAGTTCTGTGAGTTTCATCATCGCGTGTAATAATTGTAATGTGCTGTGCTTTAGTTGCTTTGCAACTATCCAAGACAAAAAAAATCAAAAAAAGTGAAAAACAAGGGTAGCACTTAACTTTTCAAATAAATGCAACATCTGCTTTTTACACTTAACTTACCACTTAAGTGGTAAGAATACCTTTCCTTTTTCGTTTCAAAAAAGGAAAAAAAGACCACGAAGAGGTCTAGTCTTCAAGGTCTAGCTCTTCATCATCTTCGAGTTCATCTTCAGAAAGGACGGCCAATGGCTGCACCTGTGTCTGCGGCAAATGTTGTATATATACATCGTTTAGTTTCAGCTGTACCGATGCGTACTCATCACTCAGATAGATACTATCAACCACGATGGTCATCTTTACTTTACAGTAATCAAGACAGTCTAGTAGCGGAGTGAGTCTTTCTCCCCACCTTGTGTGAAAGATGGTACGTGTCCTACCAGACTTTTGACTGTACATAAGCCTTGGATATAGTACTGGTGCTTTCCCCTCTTTCTCCACCAGTGGAAACTTTATGCTCTCTGCCACATCTGTGCCATAAACTTCGTCTAGATATTGATAGCAAATGTGCTTCAACTCTTTCAATGCTTCATAGAAGGCAAATTCTTTCTGCGTTGGCTCGCCAGAGCCGTCAGCTTTGTGGTTCCACAGAGGAGTGGGTAGTGTGTAGCCTATAACATTTACTCCACTCTTACTCAAGCTTGGCTGTACACCAAACGAGAATCGAAAAGGTGAAGCTATCACCAACGGACCGGCAGCCGCCCCGGCGTGTTTGATCTTGATGTTGATACGTTCGTGACCGTGTTGGTTAGTGGCCGCCTCTTCAAAGATAACATTATCCCGCGTAATACTTTTAAGACTTGAGAGTTGCATGTTTGTAAATCTGTAATGTAATGTACTTTACTTTTCTTCGCTTTATATCTTTACAGAGAAAAAAAATCAAAAAAAAGAAAAAAAAACAAGGGTAGTTCCATACCGACCAAAAAAGCAACACACATTTTCTATGATAGTATTACAAAAGGCTGAAGAAAAGAACAAAGTATGGTTAACATACCAAAAATGACTACCACTCGTGGTGGTGGTACTCGAAAAAGAAGGGTTCCAGGCGTTGACTATCTCAATGAAGACTATAGAATGTTGATAGCTGGCCCCTCAGGTAGCGGTAAGACCAATCTGCTGTCCTATATGTTGAGGGCACCGCTTGTACCATATGACGATATATATATCTATAGCCCCAACTTCCACCAAGAGTTGATACAAGACCTTGCGAAGGTCATGCATAAGCATTCGCAAAGACTGGGTTATCAGATTTTACATCTTATGGACCCGGCTCAGATTATCGACACAACCGAATACCCCACCGAGGGGCGAAAGGTTGTGATTTTCGATGACTTGATCACAGCTCCAAAAGAGACCCAAAGCAAGATCCTCAAGCACTTCATCGATGGACGACACCATCAAATCTCACCGGTGTACCTATCCCAGTCGTATCACAAGACACCTATGGATATCAGGCTTAATTGCTCTCACATGATCATATATTTACCACCGACACAGCGGCATCGAAAACTCATCGCTGATGAGAACTGCTTCGATGTCAGTGCTTTTTCAGCGTTGAGACCTTATGATTTCTTGTTTTGCGATAAGATAAAGGGCACCTGTGCACGAAATTTTGACGAAAAAATATAAAACATAGTACTAAGGACACAACTCAAAAATGAAAACTTACTGCGTGAAGCAAAAGAAGAAGACTGATAGCGTGCCGGGTAGTGAGCGGCATGAGGTTGCGAAAAATGGTCGACCGATGATCAAATCAAAGTGTGCCGAGTGTGGCATCACCAAAGTTTCTTTCGTGAGCGGAGGAAAAAAAAAGGCGGGACGCTCTTTGAAGATGTAGGGCGAACAAGTACCTCGTTGGGTGAGATGGCTGTAAAGGGGCTAGCGAACATGGCTCAGCTAGGGCTTGCAAACGCTGTCAAATCTGACTATGCGAAGAGCAAGTTCAAAAAGACGGCAAACAAGTATCTTGATGATGCTCTCGATGCGTTTGTCAACGATATGAGCAAAAAGATAAGAGGGGGAAACGTCGGTTATAATGCGCAAGATGTAAATCAGATACTACCGATGTCGATGTATGCACCTGATGGGGTGAATGACCCGACTCATCCTCTTTACGAAGGTGGAGCCTTTGATATTCACAAAGCGATTGGCAAACTACCGAAGCCGAAAAGCGGCTGGACGCTACCGGGTCACAAATATACTGGACCCTGGAACCCGCTCGAGAATCAACTGCGCTTCGATCCAAAGACTGGTGAGATTCTTGAGATCTATGACCCACCGGCAAGCCTGACTGACGCTACCGCAATGCGACACGACGTTGATTATGCCGTTTGTGCAAACAAGGCAAACCCAAAGAAGTGTAAGAATGAGGCTGATCGTAAGATGGTGAAAGCGCTCGATGCTATACCGTACGATCAGAGGCAGTGGGGTCATTGGCTTGCGAGAAACGTAATCAACACCAAACAGAAGCTAGGTATGGGTGTGGGTGGAAAAAAAAAGTCAAAGGCGAAGCCGAAGGGTGGGAAGCGAGCCTAGCAGATGAGCTACATAAACCCATCAGACGAAACTTTACAAAGCGACGCCTTATTGTGAACGGTATTGATGAGATTTGGTGCTCTGACTTGGTAGAGATGCAAAAGTTTGCAAAGTGGAATAAGGGTTATCGATATTTGCTGATGGTGTTAGACATTTTTAGCAAGTACGGTTGGATCGTACCTCTGAAGAATAAAAAGGGTGAGAGTGTGGCGGAGGGGTTCAAAAAGATATTTGCCGAGGGGCGGGTGCCGAAGAAAATGTGGACCGATAAAGGTTCGGAGTACTACAATCAAAGTGTCAAAGATCTGTTCAAAGCGAAAGGTGTTGAGCTGTACTCGACAGAGAATGAAGAGAAATCGTCTGTGTGTGAGAGATGGAATCGTACGATCAAGACAAAAATGTGGAAGCAGTTTACCATCCAGAACAACACGGTGTATCTCGACATATTGCCAAAGATTCTCGAGAAGTACAACAACACAAAACACAGATCGATCGGTATGACGCCTGTAGAGGCCTCCAAGAAGAAGAATGAGAATGCCGTCTATTTGAAACTGTACGGTAAAGAGCTGGATGCTCAAAGGGGGTGGGAAAAACCAAAGTTTGCGGTTGGCGACCACGTTCGAATCTCCAAATTCAAGAGAAAATTGTTCGACAAGGGCTACACCCCAAATTGGTCTGAAGAAATATTTGTTGTTGATGAGGTGCAATACACAGAGCCCATCACTTACAAGTTGAAGGATCTGCTTGGGGAAGAGATTAAAGGCACTTTCTACGAACAAGAGATGTTGAAGGCAAAGCACAGCCTTTCTGGGGTTTTCCGCATTGAGAAGGTTATACGAAACAAGGGCAAACAAGCTCTCGTGAAGTGGAGTGGTTATCCAGAGAAATTTAATTCGTGGGTTGATGTAAGCGAACTTCAGAAGTTATGAAAAAATGAAAAAAAATTGCCTTAAAGAAATGTTAAATATAAAACGAAAGATAAGTGCACATTTGATGATAGTTACTCAAAACGGGTTGAGTATACAGCCAAGTCTGAGGATGAAGATGTAGCACAAACATTCGTTGAAGCGCTTGAAGCAGAGGTTAATAGCATATACAGAAACCATCCCACAAAGGAGATGATCTTCACAGACGGTGATGCTGTTGAATTTGAAAATGCAACGTCTTGTTGGTTATGCGGAAAAGATTTCGAAGAGGGGAAGGACAAAGTTCGCGATCATTGCCATTACACCGGCAAATTTCGAGGGGCTGCGCATAACAGCTGTAATCTCAAATTTCAACGACCAAAATTCATACCTGTCGTGTTGCACAACTTAGCAAACTATGACGCCCACCTCTTTGTTAGAAATCTTGGTGTTTCAGAGGGTGACATTGATTGCATACCCAATAACGAAGAAAAATACATTAGCTTTACGAAACACGTTGTGGTTGACAAGTTTTTCGACAAAGAAAAAGAAAAACTCGTCGAGGTAAAGAGAGAGTTGAGGTTTATTGACAGCTTCAAATTCATGGCTTCCAGTCTTGACAAGCTTGTCAAAAACCTTACCACAAAGGGTGAGTCTTTCTTTCAAAATACAGCCAAATATTATTCAGGAGAGAAGCTTAAACTGTTGATGAGAATGGGTGTTTATCCCTACGAATGGATGGACTCTATACACAAGCTTGATGAGCCACAACTTCCACCAAAAGAAGCTTTCTTCTCCGCGTTAAGTGGTAAAGGTATCTTGGATGATGACTATACCCATGCTCAAAATGTATGGAGAGTTTTTGGTTGTAAGACATTCAGAGATTACCACAATCTCTACAATCGAAGCGATGTTCTTTTACTAGCCGATGTGTTTGAAAACTTTCGTGAGCTTTGCAAAAAGATCTACACTCTCGATCCTTGTTGGTACTTCACCGCTCCGGGTTTGGCTTGGGATGCTTGTCTCAAGTTGACTGAGATAGAACTTGAGTTGTTGAGTGATATAAACATGTTGCACATGTTTGAGGCCGGTATTCGCGGTGGGATTTCAATGATTTCGACAAGGCATGCAAAAGCCAATAACAAATACATGGAAGAAACCTTTGACCCTACCCAACCTTCAAAGTTCATCACGTATCTCGATGCAAACGCCCTCTACGCTTGGGCAATGAGCAAGAATCTGCCTACAGGTGGTTTTAAATGGGTAGATGAAAAAGATTTTGGAGAGTGGAAGAGTTTTCCCTGCATTCTCGAAGTCGACTTGAAAGGCGTCAAAAAAGAGCTTCACGATCACTTCAACGACTATCCACCCGCTCCTGAGAATCTGTTAATTGGGAAAGTACATAAGCTGGTCTGTACGTTAAACGAAAAGAAAAAGTATATCGTTCATCACGAGATATTAAAGCAATACATGAGTCTTGGAATTGAAATAAAAAAGATTCATCGCGTCATAAGGTTCAATGAGAGACCTTGGATGAAGAAGTACATCGATTTGAACACAGAGTTAAGAACCAAGGCTGACAACGACTTTGAAAAAGACTTCTTCAAGCTCATGAGCAACGCTGTCTTTGGTAAAACCATGGAAAACATTCGAAAACGCGTTGACGTGAGGCTTGTTACGAGAGAAGAGAAGGCAAAGAAGTTAACAAATAGGGTCAACTTCAAACACCGAACCATCTTCTCTGAAGATCTCTGCGCAATACATATGGGAAAGACACAGATTGTCTTCAATAAACCTCTCTATCTCGGGATGAGCATCCTCGATATCAGTAAGACATTAACCCTTTGTGACCGGATGGCCGATATATCGGCCATACAAATCACGCGCCACAATTCTGCCCAGCGGATACTCTGTTTTTAGTTCCCAGTCCTCAAACGGTTATAAAATCAAGTCTCCATCTTGGATCTTTCGTTTCGAAGCGTTTCTTGTTCATTTTCATCCGAATTTTGTCAATTTTTCTCGAGTTTTCGACTAGTAAATTTCGCAGGAACATTTAAAGGGCTTCTGCAAATGGCGTCACACTCAAGGACGTATACTGTGGACGAAATATTGGAGTATTTAGATGATAATTTCGACATTCCCGATGATGGCTTGAACTCAGACATTGAAGGGTTTGAAGATGAAGAATCCGACGACGATCAGGGCAATTTCTTTCCAGATCATGACATGGAAATTGGTGATAATGAAGAAGAAGTTACTTTGGCTGCAGTTGACATTCGAGAATCACCTGCTGCTGAAGCAAGTGCTGCTAGAGGTAGGCCAAGAAATTCATGTGTAAATGAGTACGAGTGGAGCAATTATAGTGTTGTTATAGCCTGTATTTGTCTACATTGAAATCACAAGAAAAGAGATCACATAATGCAAATCACTTATCTTACTTAACCCTTTGTGACCGGATGGCCGATATATCGGCCATACAAATCACGCGCCACAATTCTGCCCAGCGGATACTCTGTTTTTAGTTCCCAGTCCTCAAACGGTTATAAAATCAAGTCTCCATCTTGGATCTTTCGTTTCGAAGCGTTTCTTGTTCATTTTCATCCGAATTTTGTCAATTTTTCTCGAGTTTTCGACTAGTAAATTTCGCAGGAACATTTAAAGGGCTTCTGCAAATGGCGTCACACTCAAGGACGTATACTGTGGACGAAATATTGGAGTATTTAGATGATAATTTCGACATTCCCGATGATGGCTTGAACTCAGACATTGAAGGGTTTGAAGATGAAGAATCCGACGACGAGCAGGGCAATTTCTTTCCAGATCATGACATGGAAATTGGTGATAATGAAGAAGAAGTTACTTTGGCTGCAGTTGACATTCGAGAATCACCTGCTGCTGAAGCAAGTGCTGCTAGAGGTAGGCCAAGAAATTCATGTGTAAATGAGTACGAGTGGAGCAGAAAAGCAAGTGATGTGGATATTCCAGGATTTACTCAGCCTGTAGGACAAGTGAATCCGCTACCAAGAGGTAGTTTGGTTCTTGATTTTTTCCAGCTGTTTATTGATAACCACATTCTGGGAATTATCATAAGGGAAACAAATCGCTATGCCCGCCAGACAATGACACAGAGGCAAAAGGATCCAAATTCATGGAAAGAGGTTTCTTTAGAGGAACTGAAAGCTTTTCTTGGACTTCTTATTGCCATGAGTATTCACCGGGTACCTAGTTTGAGAGATTACTGGTCAACTGACTGGGTATTAGGAGTCCCAGCTTTCTCAAAAGTCATGGCCAGGGACAGATTTTTAGACATATATTACAATATTCATTTGTGTGACAATTCACAAATGCCCCAACGTGGCGATGAAAACTTTGATAAGCTGTTCAAGGTGAGGAGTTTTATGGAGAATCTGAACACAAAGTTTAGAATGAATTACAATCCTCATCGAGAGCAGGCAATAGATGAGGCCATGATCAAGTACAAGGGGCAAATATCGTTGAAACAGTACATGCCAATGAAGCCCATAAAGAGAGGCATAAAAATGTGGTGCAGGGCTGACAGTTCTAATGGATACCTGTGCGAATTCTCTATATATACTGGGAAGTCACGTCAAGGTGTTGAACATGGACTTGGATACACTGTAGTTTCAAATTTGTGTCAGCACATAAAAGGGAATTGGTACATTATATTCTGTGACAATTTCTTTACCTCAGCAAAGTTGATTGAAGATTTGTACCAGAACAAGATTCTTTGCTGTGGTACCCTGAGGTCAGGTCGCAAAGGCTTTCCAAGAGAACTGTTCGACAAAGCTGCCATAAAACGCATGCAAAGAGGGGACATTATTTGGAGAATGAAAGGTCCCATGCTGGCGTTGACATGGATGGACAAGAAAGCTGTGCATGCAGCAGGCACAAACCAAAAAGCTCCATCAGATGACCTGCCAACAGTCAACAGGAGGAAGAAAGATGGCACTGTTGAGCAGGTTCCCTGCCCCGAAACAGTGTCATCTTACAATGCCCATATGGGGGGTGTCGACAGAAATGATCAGATGAAGTCCTACTACACGATCCCTGTTGCAGGGAAGAAATGGTGGAGTAGGATCTTCTATGATTTAATTGACAGGGCAATTTTCAACAGTTTTGTTCTGTATCAGGAATCCCCACATTGCGCGTCAAGAAACCTGAAGAAATTTCGAATTGACCTTGCCAAGCAGCTTGTTAGCAATTTCTGCTCACGTGGAAAGAGGGGACGGCCTTCTGATGAAGGGCCCCAGCTTGCTCGCTACATTGAGAGGCACTTCCCAGACTTCTTGCCCTTAAATGAAAGTGGCAAGAGAAAGGAAAGAAGATGCAAAGTGTGCTATGACCGGGGAATAGTGAAGAAGACCAGCTACTTTTGTCCGGATTGTGACGTCGGCCTGTGTGTGGCACCTTGCTTCAGAGTGTTCCATCAGCCTTGAATTTCAACAATGTGAAGAACAGGCATTAAGTTAGTTCAGTTTTAGATACTTTTTAGCTTTAAAGACATGAAAACACTTTCAGAAACAAAGTTTTTTTTATTATTCAGTGAACATTAATTTAGGTGATTGCGTGACGTGACACATGCCGTGACAAAATCGACATATAGAAGAAACCATTATGAACCAGAACACCAAGTTAGGAGTCAAAATCATCAGTATAAACTACTCTTTATTTTAAGCAACATTTCAGAATTTTTCTCTCAAATCAGAAAGAATTGTGCTTCTTCCAAAGTCAGTCAAGCATTGTTTTGTGACAGTTGAGATCATATTTCACGTCATCTGACAGCTGTCAAACCAAACATAATCATCAAATAAGTATGAATTTGTATTGTACATTTATTAATCAAGACTTTGACCAAGTTTCAGGGACTTATCTTTATTATTAAATTTTTTATGATTTTTTTTAAAAATTACAACTAAGAAACTTGTGTAAACTCAAAAATTAATTCAGGTCCCAAAGGGTTAATGTCACACAAAAGAGCTAAAATATCTTTTGTAATCATTACAGTGGTTAATTTACCATTTCAACTTTGTTGATATATCCAAATTATTTCGTTACTCCCACCGACGCAGCCCCAAACAGTTTCTTTCGAAACTANCCAACATGTCGTATCAAGCACACAAGGAATACAAATTGCAAAGTTTAGACGTTTTCAGGAGCAGCCATTTTTATTGAGCTGCATCATAAAGTGGCGATGCAGATGTCAAACTTACAGAGACCCCAGAATGAAGAAAACGGCAAAACAGACTGAAACTCCGGACTTATATATATATATACAGCTAAGAATATCATATTTGAGTTATGGTTATTATATTTACTTTCAATTGCTATATGCATCGGAGTCGTGTTAATTCTTATTATATCAATGCCTTGATGGTCACAAGTACACAACAGGATGGCTGGATTTTTTTGTCTTTCTTCATGAATTTCAAAAAATTGTAAAAAATTCCAAATTCATTTCCCCAAACTAAACTACACATAATTTATTCTGAAAGATCATCAACTCTAGTATTATCATTTGTAATCTTACAAAATTCTTAGCAAAGGCACATGCTAAAAATTATCATTGTTTTTCGCCTACTGTTTTATGCAACACAGGAGAGCTATAAGCTTTTGACTTGAATGCTGGAATCAATCTAATCCTTATGAAATCACGGTGTTTAGACAATGAAAAGTTGTACAATAACTTGGAACTGTGATAGCTTTCTCTAGCGCAGTTTTATTGATACGCGAGTTGAGTGAATCATGACCTATTTTAAACCTGTTCAGTGTAGCCAAATTGATCCCAGGACTAAAAACGAAACATTTCCGTTTTTTCAGAAGCAAATAACTTTTTTAAGAAAATAAACTGCACAACAATTGTCTACTTTCTAAAGGCTACTTGTACGCAAAAGAACAACAAATTTTAGTTTCTTAACTTTGCCATACAATGTTTGATTTTTGCACCGATTAATGCTCTTAATATCTAGAAAATCATGTAAATTGGCTAAAAAGGGGATGGAGCACCTTAACCTCAAAAGTTAGTGCTCATAAAGATAACAGATGGCTGGCATAACACTGATTACTCACTCTTCTTACCTGGACAATGATTTGTGTTGCAAAGTTGGTTCATGTGACTATCTCCTCGGCAATACTTTCCAGGCCACACTCGCGGTGGATTGGTACAGCTGCGATATCGTCTCTGCGATCCACCACCGCAAGTTACACTGCACCTCCCCCATGACCCCCATGAGGACCAACCACCATCAACTATCATCAAATTAATTAACATGATTAACAGTTTAACATGACTATACTGTTTGTCCTTTTAACTTTGGAACCAAATCAAACAAATGTAAGGATTAAGTTGGAAAAAATAAACAGTCAAAGACTGCACTTGGCTACAAGCAAAGCACAATTTTTATACCATAAAAATAACAGGGGTACACACGGGTACACAGGGTACAGAGGGAGAATGGGTAACAGGGAGTCTATATGGAGACTGGGTAACAGGGAGTCTATATGGAGACTGCCATGAATTACTTGCCAATCGTGACGATGTTCACGAAACCCAGTTAGCATGTGTGTGCTAGTAAAGTTTTCGGTCTTTAGATAAGAATCAATCTGAAGAAAGTGATAAAATGTGTAGACAAAGGAACCTTGTAAGTTTCTGTTCTATTTACTATCGTTTGCAAAGTTGTTTAAGCGAGTGAAACATTCTCATCTGAGTTAGCACGAAAACGTACGTGGAACAGTCGACGTTTTAAATCAGTTTAAATTTTGCAACCCAGATGTTTAAGCTTATAATCTTACATAAAAACAACACGGATATGATTTGCCAAAATAATGGCGAAGAAGCTAAAAGTATAAGCTTAACAAAGCGTTATATTTTTATCAAAGTTAACCTTAATGTTTTCAGCGTTGTAGTAAAATTCTACCGCATTTACGTAACCAACTTAGTGTTCACTTTCTCTTTTTATACGTACAAAAACTACTTTGAATTTTCGAAGGTGGTAAGAAGATCCCGATTAAAATTCTGGAAATTCCTGGGGGGGAAGGGGGGAGTCATCAGAGACCCCCTGGAACGGAAGATCCTTGGGGGTGGATGGGGATGCAAATCAAAAAGTCTTCCGTAGGGGGGGTATGGATATTTTCTGGAACCACGTATTTTCACTATATTAAAAGCAGGAAAACTTCAAAAAAAAAATTGAATCACATAAATTATTCAGGAAATGCCATGCAAATGATTACTTCTACTTGGGTTAACACACTTTTTTCATTGTTACAAGAATTTTGGTAATTTCTAGTTTCTTGTTTCCTTTTTTATAAAGCTGAAATTTTTCCACTGTCTTGTTTTGGTTCCCAAGGATGACCACTCACCATAAACTATCATTATATCAGTGGTTGACAAGATCAACTGATTAAATATGCTCTAGGCAGTTCTGCAATTGTAATGCAAAACTGCCTGCCAACATGCAAATGACATATAATTATATATGTACTACTAATTACTGTTAGAGAATAAGGTGAGAAAGAAACTTAAGCTTTACCAAATCAAAATACCAGCATATAGTAAAAAACCTTTGAACTCCTGCACATTAATATCTAGAAAATCATGTAAATTGGCAAAAAAGGGGATGGAGCACCTTAACCTGAAAAATTAGTGCTCATAAAAATAACTGATGGCTGGTGTTGGAAAAAATAAACAGTCAAAGACTGCACTTGGCTACAAGCAAAGCACAATTTTTATACCATAAAAAGAACAAGAGGTTGTTATTATAATAACACCAGAAGGAAGTGTTGCAGCATGTTTGTCTCACATGTTAAACAGAAAACCTGCTTCACCCCACATGTTTATGACATTTTCATTATATTTAAAAGTAGGAAAAATTATTGAGGAATTAATTTACTGCATAAATTATTACTTCTGTTTGGGTTAATACACTTTTTTCATTGTCACAGCATTTTTGGTAATTTTTGGTTTCTTGTTTCCTTTTTTTTGTAAAGCTTAAAATTTTCCGTTGTTTGGTTTTTGTGGATGGGAGATATAAAACACTGACTACTGACTCTCCCTTGGAAAGTTATGGACAGTTATACGTGTTGCAACATGAGAGTGGGTCCTTGACAATCCCTTCAACCCCACTGTAGAGGGAATAGTTCAACTGTGCACTGGTCTTTGTAATCCACCCCCACGAGTTACATTGCAGCTCTCCCATGCTCCCCAGGATGACCACACCAGCCACATTAACTATCATTTCAGCATATTTCTATAGTCTAAAAGTTCCTGTATTTGAGCAATTGATGAAATTCAATAGAAAAAAGAATATTTTTGAATAACACAAATGTTAAAATGAAAAACATTGCCCACTCTTGATAAACAAAATATCAAAGCTTGAAAAAACTTACCACCTGATTTGTTTGCAATCATCCACAGGAAAGGGAAAAAGATGAAAGTCAATGAAATAGAAAGAACATTTTTCAATAAAATCTATTCATTTTCATTCAGGATACTCTTAACCCTTCATTGACCCCTAAGAGTACTTGTATTTGATTTCTCCCAACAATATCACACCTTAATCAAGTACTAAGGCCGCAAGAGTAAAGGAAATGATCCACAACTAAAGAAGCTCTTGACTGTTTAACAAATTCGACTTGTTAACACTTTGTATCCTGAACAGTATGGAGAATATGCATACTGATGTTAGGGTGCTAATTTAGGTTAGAGAATTAAGACAATGGTACAGAAATTATATACAGTCATAAATTATGACCAACTGACTAAATGAGAAGGAAGTCTTTTTAAGTCAATGACTAAAGGAAGCATTTTTAATAAAAACATAGACATGATAAAATGAAAAACACTGAACACTCTCAATAAACAAAATATCAAAGCTTCAAAAAGCTTACCATCTGATTTGTTCACAAACATCCACATGAAAAGGAAAAACGTGAAAGTCAATGGAATAAAAAGAACATTTTTAAATAAAATCAATTTATCTTCATTAAGGATACTCTTAACCTTTCGTTGACCCCTAAGAGTACTTGTATTTGATTCCTCCTAACAATATCACTTCTTAGTCAAGTACTATAATGTCATAACAACAAAAGAAATGGTCCACAACTAAAGAAGCTCTTGACTGTCTAATAAATTCTACTTGTCAACATCTCAGGAAATGTATAGTACAAAGAATATGCATGCTGATGTTAGGGTGTGAATTTAGGTTGGAGAATTATGACAGTGGTACATTAATTTATTATGGTAATATTGACCAACTGGCTAAATGAAAAGGAAATCTTTTTAAGTCAATTATTATTAAATTATTATTAGGGGCATTGATGAGTAGCACAGTCACCCCGCCATTTTGGACTTGAGTGCCTTTGCTAACGAATATCGTCGGGAAGGTTTAACCACTAAATCTTACACTTTCCACGATGAAAGCTTAGTTATCCCACCTTATTTTGGTGTAAACAAATTATGGTTTGCGACGATGCTAAAATTTTAAAAAATAAATATTTCTTGAAAATGCGCGATTTTCTGAGTGTAACGCGTAACATGAAATGTGTAAGACGGAAGAAAAAAAGGAAATATGTCAATATCGAATGCACGTGGATCCATTGTTTTTTGGCCGTTAGTAGTTTATGACAAATGCAAAAGGCAGTAAGATTTGCAACAAGAATGGTTTATTCTAATGTAAGTTATAAATGTCTGTTTTTATCACTGAACGATGTAACGCTCTAACTCTTAAAGCAACCAACGTGTACAACACTAGTAAAAAATGACAATTCCGACTGTGTAAGAAACAAACAAATAACAAACATGTCATGGGCATACATCATAGTATTTACAAACCAACGCTGAAGTTCAACCATCAAGTACAATACTTTCTAGATCAAAATAAAACGTGCGGAAACACATTTCGTAATGGCCATATTGAGCTCAATTCCATCACATATCCACCAACTGATCCGTTGTCGGACGGGATTCTGGTTAAGTTGAATAAACAAAGTTACATCTCCTGAAATGGGCTTGTGTTAAGCTAACTTTACAGAACGTTTCAGCCCATTTCGTTGGATCTAACGCTAGAAATTTACGTTTGATCGACGCGGAAACACTTTCAGCCATTGCTACCGTGTTCATGAACCGTAACGAAGGAAAGTGACGAAGAAATAAGGCGAAGACCACGTCCAACACTCCGCAACATGGGCTCCTTCGCAGCCTTCTCTTTGAAAGAACATCGATCGTTAACATATAACACATTAGGGGAGTACATAGAGTGTTTTCAGGGGCAGGCTATTGCATAATAATGAATGTATTACGTGATTTTCAACACGAGCGTCATTTTCACTGAGGGAATTCATCCGCATCCGATGGAAACAAAGGAGTCCAATCTAAATCCAGGTATTTCGCGAAAGAAGGCGGCACAAGAAAAAAAAGCAGCGGCGAAAAGAGCAAGGGAGAAGGCCTACTACCAACAAAACAAGGAAAAAAAGATTGCTCAAATTAAAGAACGACGAAAAAAATTGCAAGCCGAGAAATCAATTCGACCGCAGACGCGAAGCATTGCCGAAAAAACCAAACGGCAACAAAAAGAAACGGAACACAGAGAAGCTTCTCGTACCGCAGCTCAAGAAAAAAGAGACAAGAAAAGGCAGCAAACAAGAGAAAGAGTGAGAAAATACCGTGAAAAGAAGCGAACAAAAGCGCAAGATTATGATAATATCGTGGATTATCCAGGTTTCGCAAACCGCATGTCGAAAAAACGTGCTACCGATAAAGTTAAGAAGACACTCCCTTCCACGCCCCGAAAGAAGGCGGAGATTGTTCAAAGCATCGTCAAAAGCCCACGGACAAGAAAAGTTTTATGTGAGGGTGGTCTGCTAAAGACTCCTGAAGACGAAAAGGAAACCGAAACTTTAAGGGCACTTGCTTCTGATATTTCTGAAGGATTGAGCCACGTTAAGCGTTCAGGATCAAATGAAAAACGGACCGTGTTTAAAGCATTTAAATCTCTTGCTTTTGGAGAAGAAATTAAGAAAGCAAAGGCGAAAAAATCTGTTGGCAAACTTGTCAACCTTGGTGAAAAGAGTATCAGCAGAGCCATCGAACACCGTGAAAAAATTTTGAAAGGGGAAGTGGAAAACTGGCTGTACGCAAAACGAAAAGTTAGAGGAGACGCCCTTACAGACGAAGAGAGCAAAGTGATCTATGATTACTGGACAAACACAGCAAGCCGACCCACAGGAGACAAAAAAGATTTTTCAAGGAAAAGAATTGGAAAGAAGGAGTACATTCACCATGCAAAGCATGTGCTTGAAAAGACACAAACCGAGGCGTTCATTGAATTCACCAACCTTCATCCTGAAATTAAGGTAAAACAAAGAAAGTTTGAAACCTTGAAACCTTTTTTTGTCAGGCAGGCCAGGGAAAGAGACAGAAAGTCTTGTTTGTGCAGAAAACATGTGGAAACACAGATTGTTTTCTCTACATGCATGAAGTTTAGAAAAGCAGCCATGAAAACCTCTGCTGGGGAAGACACGTCAGTTTTAGTACCCAAAACATTGTCTGAGGTTGTGGAGTCAACCCTATGCTCTAAACCAGAAGGTGCTCCATTCCACAACATCAAGTGCCTGCAAAGAGAGTGCGACCAATGTGGTGTAGCTTTGTTCAAGCTTCTTCCTACTGAAACTTCAGATGAGGGATCTGTAAAATGGTCACGCTATGACTACATTCCAACTGGAAAGTTTCTTGCCAATGGTCAAGAAAAAAAGAAAATTGCACTTATCCAGAAAGAAACACCCCCATCAGAGCTTTTTCAGTATTTCAGGGAGCTCCTTGCAGTCTACCCCAGTCACTCTTTCATGGCAAAATGGCAACGGGAGCAACTCGACAACTTGCTCGACAACCTTCCTGTAGGCCATGTGGTGTGTGTGCATGACTATTCCGAAGGTTACACTTGTCGGCAGCAAGATGAAATCCAATCAGAATACTTCGATGTTGCCAAAGTGTCCTTACATGTCACCATACTTCATCGCCATGCAGTAGAAGAAGTTGATGGAGTAGCAAGCACTGAAGAAGACCCTCATCTTGTGAAGGAACACATATTTGTCATTTCTGATGACCCTGTCCAAGATTATGACAGTGTTCACACGATGCAAGAGTTCATTCAAAACTATTTGACCAATGATTTGGGCTACAACACACAGATGATGCACGAGTTCACTGACGGATGTGCTGCTCAGTACAAATCCCGGCACTGCATTGGTGATCTTTCTTGTTCCCTCGCTGACTTTGGCTTTCCCATCCAGAGAAACTACTTCGAGACCTCACATGCCAAGGGAGAACAGGATGCTGCAGGTTCTCACGTAAAGCAAAAAGTCAGCCAAGCTGTCCTCAGAAGAACAGCTACCATCACTAGTGCTAGAAGCATGCATGACTTCTTAGTCCAGCACTTTTCCCAGCCAGCACCATCAAGCTTCTCAGCAAGAACAAAGTCAGTTCAGCTAAAGCGCAGGATCTTTCATTTTGTGCCATCTTCTGGGGAGGGATCTGTTGTCAGGAATAGAGCTGGACGCAAATTCACAGAGTTAAAAGGAATCAGAAAACTGCATTGCGTGAAGACCACTCCTCAGCAGGGAAAGGTGTTTGTGCGACACCGTTCATGTTACTGCATTAGTTGCATTGTGAATGATGAGGAGAACTGTACTAACAAGGCATGGCTTGATGAATGGAAGATGGTGGAGCTAGCCAGAGAGGGTGATTTGGCAACCACTCGACAGGCAACTGAAGCACCAATTTTAGACCACGACACTGCTTCCTACATAGCTGACCTGGCCAGCAAGGGAAGTACAGTTGCCATAGCTGCTGAAGATGATCCTGTCTATGACTTCTATCTCCTTCAGGTCACTTCTGATGGAGTTGAAGAACTTGACAGTAATGTCACAGATGATTATCAGTGTCATTATTACAGAGGTGACAGAGTTCTCAAGGGGCACTTTTATATAANGGTTTCGCAAACCGCATGTCGAAAAAACGTGCTACCGATAAAGTTAAGAAGACACTCCCTTCCACGCCCCGAAAGAAGGCGGAGATTGTTCAAAGCATCGTCAAAAGCCCACGGACAAGAAAAGTTTTATGTGAGGGTGGTCTGCTAAAGACTCCTGAAGACGAAAAGGAAACCGAAACTTTAAGGGCACTTGCTTCTGATATTTCTGAAGGATTGAGCCACGTTAAGCGTTCAGGATCAAATGAAAAACGGACCGTGTTTAAAGCATTTAAATCTCTTGCTTTTGGAGAAGAAATTAAGAAAGCAAAGGCGAAAAAATCTGTTGGCAAACTTGTCAACCTTGGTGAAAAGAGTATCAGCAGAGCCATCGAACACCGTGAAAAAATTTTGAAAGGGGAAGTGGAAAACTGGCTGTACGCAAAACGAAAAGTTAGAGGAGACGCCCTTACAGACGAAGAGAGCAAAGTGATCTATGATTACTGGACAAACACAGCAAGCCGACCCACAGGAGACAAAAAAGATTTTTCAAGGAAAAGAATTGGAAAGAAGGAGTACATTCACCATGCAAAGCATGTGCTTGAAAAGACACAAACCGAGGCGTTCATTGAATTCACCAACCTTCATCCTGAAATTAAGGTAAAACAAAGAAAGTTTGAAACCTTGAAACCTTTTTTTGTCAGGCAGGCCAGGGAAAGAGACAGAAAGTCTTGTTTGTGCAGAAAACATGTGGAAACACAGATTGTTTTCTCTACATGCATGAAGTTTAGAAAAGCAGCCATGAAAACCTCTGCTGGGGAAGACACGTCAGTTTTAGTACCCAAAACATTGTCTGAGGTTGTGGAGTCAACCCTATGCTCTAAACCAGAAGGTGCTCCATTCCACAACATCAAGTGCCTGCAAAGAGAGTGCGACCAATGTGGTGTAGCTTTGTTCAAGCTTCTTCCTACTGAAACTTCAGATGAGGGATCTGTAAAATGGTCACGCTATGACTACATTCCAACTGGAAAGTTTCTTGCCAATGGTCAAGAAAAAAAGAAAATTGCACTTATCCAGAAAGAAACACCCCCATCAGAGCTTTTTCAGTATTTCAGGGAGCTCCTTGCAGTCTACCCCAGTCACTCTTTCATGGCAAAATGGCAACGGGAGCAACTCGACAACTTGCTCGACAACCTTCCTGTAGGCCATGTGGTGTGTGTGCATGACTATTCCGAAGGTTACACTTGTCGGCAGCAAGATGAAATCCAATCAGAATACTTCGATGTTGCCAAAGTGTCCTTACATGTCACCATACTTCATCGCCATGCAGTAGAAGAAGTTGATGGAGTAGCAAGCACTGAAGAAGACCCTCATCTTGTGAAGGAACACATATTTGTCATTTCTGATGACCCTGTCCAAGATTATGACAGTGTTCACACGATGCAAGAGTTCATTCAAAACTATTTGACCAATGATTTGGGCTACAACACACAGATGATGCACGAGTTCACTGACGGATGTGCTGCTCAGTACAAATCCCGGCACTGCATTGGTGATCTTTCTTGTTCCCTCGCTGACTTTGGCTTTCCCATCCAGAGAAACTACTTCGAGACCTCACATGCCAAGGGAGAACAGGATGCTGCAGGTTCTCACGTAAAGCAAAAAGTCAGCCAAGCTGTCCTCAGAAGAACAGCTACCATCACTAGTGCTAGAAGCATGCATGACTTCTTAGTCCAGCACTTTTCCCAGCCAGCACCATCAAGCTTCTCAGCAAGAACAAAGTCAGTTCAGCTAAAGCGCAGGATCTTTCATTTTGTGCCATCTTCTGGGGAGGGATCTGTTGTCAGGAATAGAGCTGGACGCAAATTCACAGAGTTAAAAGGAATCAGAAAACTGCATTGCGTGAAGACCACTCCTCAGCAGGGAAAGGTGTTTGTGCGACACCGTTCATGTTACTGCATTAGTTGCATTGTGAATGATGAGGAGAACTGTACTAACAAGGCATGGCTTGATGAATGGAAGATGGTGGAGCTAGCCAGAGAGGGTGATTTGGCAACCACTCGACAGGCAACTGAAGCACCAATTTTAGACCACGACACTGCTTCCTACATAGCTGACCTGGCCAGCAAGGGAAGTACAGTTGCCATAGCTGCTGAAGATGATCCTGTCTATGACTTCTATCTCCTTCAGGTCACTTCTGATGGAGTTGAAGAACTTGACAGTAATGTCACAGATGATTATCAGTGTCATTATTACAGAGGTGACAGAGTTCTCAAGGGGCACTTTTATATAAGGGAGAACATTCATGACATGACTTTCACAATTGACGAAAAACGGAAGGCCTTTGTACATGCTGCTACTGTCCGTCACATTTGTGGTGACCTACCAGTCAGAAAGAGAGGGCGAAAGTCTATTTACAAACTCCCTTTGAAAGAAAATGAGGAGATCATTGCTTCGATGTGAAATAAAAATTACAAAACCCTTTTTTCCCCATTTTTACATTGAATTTTTTAAGATTTTATGAGAATACAAAATGTGCCACGCCCACAAGGGATTCTGGGTAATGCCAAAATTAATGTTATTAGTGCAAAATAATAAAAATATTTACAGATATTGATTACAATGTACATTTCAATCAAAATTAAAGGCAAAAAGTGACAAAAAGAGAAAAAAATTTAAAAAAATTATTTTTGGACTATGTTACAGCAAATGGCTATGTGACTGTGCTACTCATCATTATTGTTAAACACTATTGATAAAAAAAGAATAAAAGATTGAAGACACTATCTAGTTTGTTCCAAAAATAGAAAATAGAAAAATAGGAATGACAGGCCTATCAACACCTTTCGACGGTCGACTGCCTTTTGCTTTCTGGCTTTCCGGTGTGTCGCCTCATGCAAGGTTGAGGTTTTCATGGATCAAGTGATTCTTTTCATTGCTCTAATTAAACTGTCCTTCATTCAATGATCTACCCCATTCAAAGATTTGTCCCACAATACTCGCGATTATTTAATTTTCCTTTACTTAGGAAAGTAGATTTACATGATTGATAAATGCCCTTGAAGTAGTATCGCTATGTAACGCAACACACTAAACACAACATTGGGCGTTTTTGCTCCACAAAAGGGTCTCAAACACTGTCACTTAAAATGCTTAAAACATTTGTACTGTTGGAGTGCGTTTGAGTGCATTGGGTCAGAGCTGTTGAAAAAGGATCAAAGTAGCCATACAAATCTTTGAAAGGCTTCAAACTACGATGTACAATGAATTTGACCTGCTCAAAAACTGGTCTCAAATTACATGTTCAAATACAGTGCTTACATTTGTCCTTGAGAATGATATCATATGTGACAAATATGCACAAAAAATACTTCTACACGTTCAGAATAAATTATATCAAATTATATTTACCTATAGTGAAAGGAAAAAGAAGCGGCCTAACTTTTACAGAATATTCAGTCAAACTCTACCCATTTCTGCCGCTTTTACTGCCATATTGAAAACAACGCTACCACAATGCAATGCAATCGGAGTGCACACACCGCCTGCTCTTAACCCTTCATTGACCCCTGAGAATACTTGTATTTTCGCGATTCCTCCCAACAATATCACATATTAATCAAGTAGTAACATCATAAGAACAAAGGAAATAATCCACAAAATATCAAAGCTTCAAAAACTTACCACCTGATTTGTTCACCAACATCCACATGAAAAGGAATAATTATAATTATGAAACATAATAAATAAAAAATATAAACATATAATTTTACATAAAAAAGACCACCTGACTACATAAGGAATTCTTTTAAAATCAGTGACTAAAGGATCATTAATACAAACACACCAATGATAAAATGAAAAACATT